ACTTAGAATGGAAGAGTGAGAGGAGATGGAAAGCAAAGAAGTTAAAGGAAAAGGGAAAAACAAATAAACAAGTAAAACAAACAAAAAAGTTTCAAAGATATAAATAGGGAGAAATAGTGTACTAATCAACAGTAAGCTAAACAGGCATTAGAGAGACAGAGAAATTAAAAAATCTCCAAGTTCAAATGCAATACAGTTTCAGTCTTAATAATTTTGGTGTTAGTCCCTCAGCCTCCAATCCTGGAGATGGTGTCTCAGAAGTAGTTCTGTCGTTGTCTCATCAAAGGGGAAAAAACCAAATAAAACAAAACAAAACAAAAACACTACAAAGTGTCCCAAGTTCAAATGCAATACAGTTTCAGTAAGTTTTTCAGCATGCAGGTGTAGTTCGGTTGTTGTCTCATCAAAGGAAGAGAGAAAAAAAAAAGAGTCTGGAGACAGTTCTGTGAATGGCTATCTGAGGCTGTGGCTCAGCTGCCCGCTGCTGTCAGCCTACTGTTGCTTGAGGCTTTATTTATGCAGATTTCAGGGATGAGCTTAACACTCACCTGGCCCTGCAGGCTAAGTTTACTTAGAGTTTGCCTGGGCACAACTGCCACTGCTACAGGCTTTCCCCTTTCCAAGCACACTGGGGGAGGTGACACTGCACCCACTTTCTCAGGCCGTCGTGTTTATTTACAGTTCATGTGTGAAGTGGGTCTTCCCCCCTCTCCTGTGGAGTTTTCCTCCTACCGCCACTGTTACAATCTTTACCGCTCCTGGTTGCTGGGTGTGTGCGCTGCTCCTGCCTTCTCCGGCAGGCTTGTTTATTTACAGTTCCGTGAGGGATTTCCCCTCCCCCCACTTCAGCGCTCAGGGCGCCCTGCCCTCTCTGCTACATGTATTTTTTGTTGTTATTGCTTATTATTCAGTTTTTTTTTCTTTTTTCCCTGGGTGGGGGTCGATGTGTCCAGGGGGCTATGCTGATCTGGCCCAGGGTTGTCTGTGGGAGTACCACGTGCGGCTTAGCTCACCTTGTGGTCTGCATCTTCCCAAGCAGTCTGGGTGCTGGTGTCTGGCGGCATGGGAGCCCTGCTGGTTGCTCCGTTTAATGTGGAGTGGGGATGCTATGTGTGGGCTGGGAGTGTGAAGCAGTCATAGCTTTGCCTCTTCTCGGTGGTTTTTCCTGTAAGGTGTATCTCCAGCATCTCTCCAAGATTTTACTTTAGGAAGCACACTTTCTGCTTCCTCTCTCTGGCCGCCATCTTGGAATCCTTCCCATTGAGGCCTTTTATTACAGCACCTCACTGCCCTCATTTAGTTGCAAGTCATTATAATAAAATGTTTGTTCTTTCCAGCACTCAGGAGGGTGAAGATGGAGGACTGCAAATTGGAGGCCAGCTTGGGCTACATAGCAAGACCCTGTCTCAAAAATAAATGAAGCAAAATAAAAGCTTGCTCAGTGTTTTGTCAATCAAATTCTAAGCCTTTGAGAGCATCATTTTGATAGGCTAGGGAGGGGTCTAAGCCCTAAGAGCCAGATAGCACAGTCATTCAGGAAGGGTGAGCTCTCAGTGCTTGCCTGCCTTTAGAACAAGCAACTAATCTTACTTTGTTTACTAAACTTGCCAAACTCTTTCTCATCTGGGAAAAGAGTCTTAGGGATGGCCATGACAGAGACCCATGCAAGCTTGGTGCTACCAAAATGGAGATTTATTCCAAGGCCCAGGCCATTCTCTTATCCAGACACAAGAAGTACAGTTGGGCTGCATACTGGACAGGACTCAGAACAAGGAAAGTGTTGAGGGCAGAGCTACGAGGCATATGAAGCCTATGCAAATCCTAAGGGCATTTCCATGACTCCAACAAGGGAGATGTGAGAGAAATAAATGTAAAGTTCTTTCTTGGGTACTGTCAGCTTCACTGGAATCTGGGAGAAATGACTTATCCAGTTCTGTCTAGAATATACAGAAATGCATTGGTAATTCACATAGGCAGACAGTGGGCCAAAGCAGTTGTGTGGGCAGACTAGGTAAAGGAAAAGAATTCTTGTCCACGAGTGTTCAGGTATACAGGCTGTGTTAGGCCTTCACTTGCACTGAACACAGTTTTGAATTAACATTAGCCTTTGCTATACAGGGGTTAGATAACCCTGTACCTAGACTGTTTTTGAGCCAACTGTGGACTCCTTAGCATTCAGGAAGCACTAGATAGCTGCAAGGAAATTCAGTCATTTCCTGGTTACAGACTCAGAGCCTCAAAAACTGGTAATCTGGTGAATTGATCCATGTGCAGGGGCCTCCCTCCTGTTCACTTCCTCCTCCTCACCCACCCACTGAGAAGATGGCAAACTTTCTGTGTGGCTCATAAATGGTTTTTACTTTTTTTTTTTTTTTTTTTTTTTTTAGTGGTACTGGGGGGTTTGAATTCAGGCCTTCATGCTTGCTAAGCAGGCACTCTACCACTTGAGCCACACCACCAGCCCTTTTTTGGTGTTGGGTATTTTCCAGATGGGGTCTCTCTAAGTATTTGCCCAGGCTGGCCTATATCTGCAGTCTTCTTGATCTCTGCCTCCCAAGTAGCTAGGATTACAGGCATAAACTCCAGCTGGTTTTTACATTTTTAAATAGTTGAGGAGAAAATCAAGAGAAAAATATTCTGTGACACATGAAAATCAAATGTCATTGCCATAAAGTTTTATTGGAGCCCAGCCACACCCTCTCATTTACATAGCATCTCTGGCTGCTTTATGGTTCCATCAGTGTTGAGACCATTTGTTCCACAAAGCCAAAATATCTTTATCAGGCTCTTTACAGAAAACTTTTAAACATTTATGGAGCCCTGCCTGTTGCTGCTAGAGCAGTCCTTTACACTTAGGTGTGAATAACTAATAACAGCCTAATTAACCCAGCTTTAACCTTCAGAGGAAAATTTGGATTGCAAGGGGAACAAACCTTAAGATAGAGATGAAGCCTACAGAGGTTCAATGTGTGTGTTGGGGAGGGGGAGGAAGGGGCTTCTAGCAACAGTCAGGGTTGAAGAAGATGCTGCAGAGCAGGACATCCCCATACCTCCAAAGCATGCTCTCAGATGTCTGCCATCAGTTCTCAGAGGTGTCTACACGGCAGCCTGAAATAAATTTTCATCACAGCTGCATAAACAGGATGTCTTCTCATCTCTGCCTCCACTTGTCAATAAGTTGTCCTTTCTTTAATTATTGATTATCCTTGTGCTTTATAATAAAAGTAGCTGCAACCTGCAAGTCTCAAAAGATTATTTGAAATTGTAGCTGATATTGGAATTATACCTTTTAGTTATAAATTATAATTTACTTTTGCCATGTAACTTGGCCAGAACTCTTAGCTAAAAATGACAGAAACCCACCTAAAATTGGCTTCAGCAAAGAGAATTTTTTTTATTGTTTTATTATTCATATGTGCATGCAAGGCTTGGGTCATTTCTCCCCCCTCTCCACCCCCTCCCTTACCACCCACTCCGACCCTCCCTCAATACCCGACAGAAACTATTTTGCCCTTATCTCTAATTTTGTTGAAGAGAGAGTATAAGCAATAGTAGTAAGGAACAAGTGTTTTTGCTGGTTGAGATAAGGATAGCTATACAGGGAGTTGACTCACATTAATTTCCTGTGCGTGTGTGTTACCTTCTAGGTTAATTCTTTTTTATCTAACCTTTTCTCTAGTTCCTGGTCCCCTTTTCCTATTGACCTCAGTTGCTCTTAAGGTATCTGCTTTAGTTTCTCTGCATTAAGGGCAACAAATGCTAGCTAATTTTTTAGATGTCTTACCTATTCTCACCCCTCCCTTGTGTGCTCTCGCTTTTATCATGTGCTCAAAGTCCAATCCCCTTGTTGTGTTTACCCTTGATCTAATGTCCACATATGAGGGAGAACATATGATTTTTGGTCTTTTGGGCCAGGCTAACCTCACTCAGAATGATGTTCTCCAATTCCATCCATTTACCAGCAAATGATAACATTTCATTCTTCTTCATGGCTGCATAAAATTCCATTGTGTATAGATACCACATTTTCTTAATGCACTTGTCAGTGGTGGGACATCTTGGCTGTTTCCATAACTTGGCTATTGTGAATAGTGCCACAATAAACATGGGTGTGCAGGTGCCTCTGGAGTAACTTGTGTCACAGTCTTTTGGGTATATCCCCAAGAGTGGTATTGCTGGATCAAATGGTAGATCAATGTTTAGCTGCAAAAAGAGAATTTAATGGCCCGTGTATTGGAAAGTTCTGGGGTAAACTAGCTTCAGGCATAGCTGGATTCAGGTGCTACAAGAAGTACTGTGTTCCTCAATTTAGCTCTTGGTTCTGCCTCATTCCAAGTTGATTTCATCCTTGGACAGTCTTTTCTCATGTGGCCACCATATGGCCCAGCAGCCATAGCTGGAATCTTACCTAGCAATCCAAGCAGAAATAATAATTCTTCCTGATAATTCCAGCAGATTCCAAGGCTAATGCCTATTGGTTCTGATTGGCTTGTCTTAAGTCATATGCTCACTACTGACCAATCCCTGTGTCCAGGGTATGTGAATTCACATTACCTAGACTGGGTCATGTGCCTTTCCTCTAGTCTCACTGGCAGGAAAACTGGCACAGGGGTGTCACTAGAACAAATGGAAGATGGGCAGGCAAAACAACAGCAATTTGTTATCCCACTATAAGTTGTAGAGTCCTTAAAATAGGCATAAATAAAAACAATCAAATGTTGCTTGGTAAGGATACTTTCTGAGAAATGCATCATTAGGCCTTCATCCTTATACAAACATTGTGGAGTGTACTTACACTTGTCACCTTATATGCCATCCTTCACTCCCAGAGCCATCATTATGCAGCCCGTGACTGTAACAGAGGCCTAAAAATGTGATGGGATTAGGATCTTTGATGCAACATAAGTAAGGAAGGTTGACCTCCACCTGCTAGGACCTCTTGCCCCCTGGCCTGGGCCCCTGGGGGAACCTGACCCTTCCACCTGCCTCTTGCCCCCCAGAATCTGAAGCGAGTGGCTGAAGTATGGATGGATGAGTACGCTGAGTACATTTACCAACGCAGGCCAGAGTATCGCCACCTCTCTTCTGGGGATGTAGCAGCCCAGAAAAAGCTCCGAAGTTCCCTGAACTGCAAGAGTTTCAGGTGGTTTATGACCAAGATTGCCTGGGACCTGCCCAAATTCTACCCACCTGTGGAGCCCCCAGCAGCAGCTTGGGGGGAGGTGAGTGTGAGGCCCAGGGCTGCTGCATGATCTATGGGGGTCTGTCAGAACACAAGTTCAGACACAGTAATATACCCCTGGAAAGGTACAAATGTGAAACTTTTCGCCCTTTGCCTTTTCCTGGTAGGATTTATTTTTGTTTTTGTTTTTGATTTGTTATTTAGTGTTGTAAGTATAGAAAAATTAAAACTTTTTTAGCATGAATTTCACCTTTCATCTTTATATTATACAATACCAGGTTTTTTGGAGGTTTTAGTTTTTGTTTGTTTGTTTGTGGTGCTGGGGATCGAACGCAGGACTTCAAGCATGCTAGGCTCTACCAGAGCCACACCCCCAGCCCACAGAGACAGTTTTAAATGCAAATTAAGAGTATGTAACTCACACTCCCAGTGAGTGAAATGACCTAGTCTGTATTTTATCCTCCTACCTCCAGAGTATTTCTTACCCAAATTGCTTGGGTTCAGACTCCCACACCTTCTGTCTGAATGGCTGAGGGATATGGGCCATTGTTGTTCTTCAAACCAGAGGTGGGTGGGGCTGGACTTCTGCCACCTCTTGCCATTCACCTCCCCTAAAAGGCAGAGATTTTCCAAGACATACAGCAAAGACTTTGTGTCCTTTTCTAGTGGTTTCCAAGGTTTAATCCCTGAACCACTTACACCTGGTTCACCTGGAATGGGGATAAACTTCTGTTCCTCAACCCATTGAATCAAATTCTCTAGGCTTGAGGCCAGGGAGTTAGGCTTTTAACACACATGCACACACTGTCACCGATAGACCCCACTCCCTGATGGTGACTCTGCTGAGGATGCGCTCTGTGGATGAGTATCCTCTATTGAGGGGGAGGGCACTTCCAGCAGCCCAGGGCAAGCTTCATTAAGACAATTCATAGCTAAACCCATCTACCTCTGCCTTGGTTCCCCTTCCACCCAAGCAGAAGCCCCATGGGTATGTTGAGGCACTTTATGGTTCACTCCTGCCCTCTTTCCCTCTCAGATTCGCAATGTGGGCACAGGGCTGTGTGCAGACACAAAGCATGGTGCTCTGGGCTCCCCACTGAGGCTGGAGAGCTGTGTCCGGGGTCGTGGGGAGGCTGCGTGGAACAACATGCAGGTAAGGGCTACTCCTCAGGATGCTGCACCATATGTACCTGGAGTACTCAGTGCTGGGGGGCTGAGGCCATGGGTCAGCCATGAATGACAGATGTCAGCCAGAGAAGTTCAGGAGCTTCCTCAACTCCACGGAAAGGGTGTTCTTGCACATTGCAGATCCAATCATCAATCTGGACTGTTTGGGTTACAGTTGACACACACCCATACCCAACCCCGGTAGCCTTCAATAAAGAGGGAGTTATTAGCTCTGTCACTAGGAAGTCTTGGTGATGTCATCTAGATCTCTTTGGAATCTTCTTCCTTCTCCATTGGCTTACTTCTCAACCTGGCTCTTCCCTCATGGTGGCAGATGTGACCCTCAGCAGCCCCCAGTAGACACACATGGGCCTTGTAAGAGTTCTGGAGTATCTCCGGGGTCCTGAGGTATGAGGTGCCTGAGGTATGAGGTGTGGTGGGATGGGGTCTGGTCAGCCTCATCTGCAGGACAGGAAGGAAGTAGTGGGCGAGGTCAGGTCCTCCAGGGGTCCTTCCCCATGGATGTTACCAGGAAAATACGGACCAAGGCAGACTTGAGGGTGACCTGTCCTTACTGTAGATTTTATGGCATTTTGGACATTTTCGGTGATATAAGCCTATTAATACAGTCCTCTGCAAAAATAGGACTCGAATGGAGTGTATGGTACACCCCAAGAAAAAGCAATGTACCTGTGTCTTAGCCTGTCTTCTGTTGCCACAGACTAGATAATTTATAGAGAATAGAGGTTTATGTAGCTCACTGTTCATACAGTTCTGGAAGTCCAAGAACATAGGGTCAGCATCTGGGAGCTTTCCTACTGTGTCCTCACATAGCAGAGGAGAAACAGAGCATGCTTGCTAGTTTGGTCTCTCTTCCTCTTATAAAGTCACTAAAGCAATCTTGGCTCCTCCCCCATGCCCTGTCTAATACTAAGTATTTCCCAAAGTCCTTACCTCCAAATATCATTAACATATAACTTTAGGGATTAAGTTTCCAACCTAGGAATTCTAGGGGATGCACCCTATTGCAACCTCTTAAATGACACAGCAAGCAGCCTGATGCTGTGTGCCCCTCTTCTGAAATGCTTATCAGTCTGCCTCCTCTTTTCTTGGTAAAAATTCTTAGTAGATAGTCGTTTTCCCTAATTAATTCTTCTGAGTTCTCCAAACTTCACCCCACCCTAGGACTCCAAAAGAGACCAGGAAAAAAACATGGTTAGGATGTACCCAGGGCTCTTGGCCTCAGAAAAGCCTCCATGTGTGACAAGTACACATAAATACCTGAAGACTTAAGCAAACAGGCAACAGAAGGGTGCCTGGGTGTAGCTGTGCCATCACCTCCTGTATCAGAAGTCTGACAGACCCATGACTCCACTGGGAACTGTGCCCCTGTCCTCTGTGAGGGAGAAATGCATGTCTAAAAGACAACCCCTGAGCTGAGCAGGGCCTAGAAAATAGCCATGTAGGAGGCAGTGGCTGTCCTCCCCACCACCACCACAAAGACTGCTTCCAGGCAAAATGGAGGACCAGAGACTGACTTACTGTCATGCCAGAAGCCACCAAAACCAGACAAAATATGTTTTTTTTTAAGAGAGTGGACATCAGCCACTGAGAGTAACCCTTAAGAGGTGAGAACCCACATCGATCCCTGTAGTCACCCCAGGTTCCTTCCTTGAGACATTCAAGTCCACAGGTCAGAGAGAGAGAACCCGAGTGGAGCCAGGCAGACTGCAGAACTGAGGAGACAAGCTGAGAAAATAGGAGACCAAGGGAGAGCTCAGAGAGCACTTCTGAGGTAAATCCAGGCCCAAGTAGCTTCCTTAGTGACTTCTACCAAACACTTAAACAGATTTTGCAATTCTACAGAAATCCTTCCTTTACAAGTAAAGGAAGGAATACTTGCCAGTCTAATTTATGAAACCCGTATTACCGTAATACCAAACCCAAACTAAAATGTAAGCCCAACCACAAACCAACATTTCATGAGCATAGATGCAAAAAGTTCTAAACAAAATTTTAGAAAACCATATTCAACTGTACATAAAAAGGGTAATATATAATGACCAAGTGCATTTTATCCCAGAAATGCATGATTGGTTTAACATTAGAAAATTAATCAATATGATTCAACATATTAAAAAGAAAAACCAAATAGTCACCTCATTTTTTTCTTTTTTCTTTGGTTTTCTTTGTTTGTTTTGGTTTGGTTTTTTGGGGTTTTTTTGGCAGTACTGGAGTTTGAACTCAGGGCCTTACACTTGCTAGACAGGTGCTCTGCCACTTGAACAACTCCACCAGCCCTTCTTTGTGTTGCATATTTTCAAGGTACTGTCTCTCAAACTAATTGCCCAGGCTGGCTTCGAAATGTGATCCTCGTGATCTCTGCCTCCTGAATAGCTAGTATTATAGGCGTGAGCCACTGACACCCAATGTCACCTCATATTTATACCCAGAAAAAAGCATTTGACAAAATCGAATAACCATTCCTGGCAAATCAGGAATAGAAGGGAGCTTCCTCAACTTGATCAAGGGAATCTATGAAAAACCCACAGCTAGCCTCAGACTTAGTGGTAAAAGGCTAAATGCTTCCTCCCTGAGATAAGGAGCAAGACAGTGCCACCTGATCTCTTCATTTCTATTCAACACTGCAATTCAACAAGACAAGAAAAAGAAATGAGAGTCATCCAGATGGGAAAGAAAGACAGCTGACTCTATTTGTAGAGTACATGAGCATCTATGTAGAAAATTCTATTAAAAGTTTAAAGGACTAACACTGCCTGATTTCATGTTACATTATAAAGCAACAATTGTTAAGGACAGTGTGCTGTCAACATAAAGAATAATGGAACAGAAGAAAGTTTAAAAGTGAACCACATGTATAAGGACAAAAGATTTTTGATGTAGTGTGAAGGCAGTTCAATGGAGAAAAGATAAGTATTTTTCAAAAACTGATACTGGAACAATTGGATATCCATATGTAAAAAACAAAAAAGATGTACATTATGCCATCTATAAAAATTGACTCAATAAATCATAAGCCTATACATAAAACCTAAAATAAAAAGCATTTAGGAGGACTGGGGGTATAGCTCAGTGGTAGAGCACTTGTCCAGTAGATGCAATGTCCTGGGTTCAATCCCCAGTACAACAAAAACAAAAAAAAGCCTTTAGGGAAAAAATTAGGCAAAGGTAAAGGGGTTTATGACCTTGAGTTAAGCCATGATTTCTAACACCAAAAATGCAATTCCAAAAGAAAAAAGTTGAATTGGACTTCAAAATGAAAACTTTTAGCAAGTGTGGTGGTGTATACTTGTAATCTCAGCCCTCCAGAGGCTGAGGCAGAAGGAACACAAGTTCAAGGCCAGCTTGGGCTACACAGCAAAACCTTGTCTAAAAAAACAAAAAGAAAACCTGTTCTTTAAAGGACAATGTTAAGACTGGAAGAAAGTGTTTGTAAAGCATATCTGATTAAGGACTTGTATGTAGAATATATAAAAACCTCTCAAAACTCAATAATAAAAATTTTTAAATGATCAAAGACTTGTAGACACACTGCTAAAGAAAGTATGGAAAATAAACATAATGAAAATGCTTATCTGGGCATGGTGACACATACTTGTCATTCCAGCACTCTGGAGGCTGAGGCAGAAGTACCATAAGTTCAAGGCCAGCCTGAGCTACACTGGGAGACCCTGTCTCATAAAAAACAAAATGTTTAACTTCATTAGCTGTTAGAGGAAGTGGAAATCACAATTACAATGAGAACCACCACACACCTACATAAAGACCGACCACACCATAGGTTGGCAAGGCTGTGGATGACCTGGAACTGTGCCATGCTGGTGGGATGCAAATGTACCATTTACCTTCCTTGGAAAGCAGTTTGGCAGCTTCTCTGAAAGCAAAACATCCATCAGTGAGCCATCCATCCATCCAAAAGAAAACATATGGCCCCACAAAGACTTGTACACAAATGTTCATAGCAGCTTTCTTTGTAACAGCCCCAAACTGGAAACAACCCAGATGTTCAAGAATATGGAAATGGGGTGCCATGCGGTGAGATGCTACTCAGCAATAACAAGAAGTGAGCTGTTGATAAATGCTGTTACAGCTGGGCGAATCACAGCAAAATTAAAGAAACCAGACCGAAGAGAATATATACTGTATGATCCCTTTTATATAAAACTCTAGAAATTACAAGTGAATCTCTAATGGCAGAAAGCAGACCAGTAGGGACATGGTGTGGAGAGACAGGAGGAAGAGATGACCCAGGGGCATGAGGCACTTTGGGGGTGATAGATATGTTACTGGCTTGCTTGTGATGAGGATTTTAGGCATAAATACATCAAAACATCATATTGTACACTTTAAATGTGTGCAGTCCATGGCCAATTAGTCTTCAATAAAGCAGCTGGGGAGAAAATGAAGCTCATCCACCAAATGCAGCGTGGACCCCGTCAGGATCCTGGTTCAGACAGACTGTGAAAGAAATCCAAGAATCCTTGAACTCTGGATGATTAGCAGCACTGAAGACTTTGTATGGACTTCCATTTGTTACAATGGTATTCCTGCAGCAGTTACACCTGACATGATATGGTAACATGGTAGGAATAGTGATGGGGATAGAGCTGGAACAAGGTTGCCAGTGAGTTGGAAACTTCTGAAGCTGGGTGATTAGAACAGGAGGGACAGTCAATAGATTCTTCTTTGGACCTCCATGTTTAAATTTTCCATAATTTAAAAACCACTGGAAAAAGAAAGAGCATTCCTGGCTTTTCTTTCTCTATCACGTCCCTTTCTTTTTTCCTATACCTGCTCAGGTATTCACCTTCACCTGGAGGGAGGACATCCGGCCTGGAGATCCTCAGCACACCAAGAAGTTCTGCTTTGACGCTGTCTCCCACACCAGCCCAGTCACCCTCTATGACTGCCATAGCATGAAGGCAACCAGCGTGGAAGTTACCGTGAGTAAGAGAGATACTGGCCAGCAGAGTGTAATAGTGTTTGGTAATTGGTTAGTGCCTCACTGCTTCTTCAACAAAACCCACCACTCATTAGTTCCACAAACCTGCCATGCCCGATTTTCCATGCATTCAGGAGAAGCCAGAAACCCGTATTTCTATGTGAAATCTCCAGTTCTAAACATTGGCAGCAGAGTTCTTTTAGAAATAAAGAAAGCAAAACCACACCAGCAGACCAACCAGCCAGAATTTGACAGGAGGCAGACAGTGTTGAGGCCGAGCCTGGTAGTGGTGCGATCACCTCTGTCACATCCTGGCGACGCAGCCATGGCAGGCCAGTTAAGGGGAGGGGAGACTGGGCAGTGTCCTGGCGTCAGGAAGAGGACCAGCTGGTCTGTGAGCAGCCACCCAGTCTCTTCCTTGCTCCCCATTGTATCTTGTTACTCCTGTAGTGTTTCCCTATCCCATCACTGCCTGGCTGATACCTCCCTGTCTTGTAGGACAAAGTCCCTGTACCCCCTTCAGTGTCATGCATGGACTCAGCGAAGTGACCACAGGATCTTCATGAATGCCTGCAACCCCTCCTCCCTCACCCAGCAGTGGCTTTTGAACACACCAACTCAACAGTCTTGGAAAAATTCAACAGCAAACTGAACACTAGGGTCGCCTCGGCAGGCCTGATGGCCCTCTGACACCATAGCCTTCCTCTCTGGATGAAGGCAGGGCCTCCTGTGACACCATATCTAAAGGCGCTCACCAAATGGTTCAGGAAAGGGCTCTAGAGCAGGGGTCTGCCTGGCCTTCAGCCCCTAAGTTGTAGGGGTGGGGTAGAGAAGCAAATCCCACAAAGGACCTTATGAGAAGGCAGAGTTTGCTTTAATCCCTGCTGATACTGATGCAAATAGGGGCCCCTTTCAACTTTGTCCTAATGTCCCCTATTGAAATTATGTGGAGACTACCAGGGTACCCAAAAATGAGTCCTGAAAGGTTGCCCGCCCTCTGGTGGCTTTCATACCTTGACAGTCCCTAGAGAGAGAGGTACCAATTTGCCTGTTGGAGGCAGTGTAGCCCAATGCCACGAGCTGCAGCAGAAGGGGCTTTTGTATCCTGTCTGTGTGAGTGCCTACCATTACTGCCATTTCTGTCTTGACGACTTCAAAGTCAGATCAGAGTGCTCAATATTGAATGCTGGCCAGCAGCTGTGGATATGGACTCTCCCTCTGGCCTCTGGTATTTGAATAACCCATTTCTGTGCAATCCGGGCACAAAGACAGCCCAGCCACCAGCTTTTGGGGGCTAGTTCAAATGCCCTTGCCATAAAAAGGCCAAGCTAGACCTCCAAATAGCAATGCTGGACAAATTTCTGATCCATGCTTCCATTTTTTTTTCCCTCTCTCTGGACACATTTACCTGCCTCAAGAGAGGAACAGGGTGCTGCGAGGTGCTCACCTCCCAGAGCTGGAGGCTTTCAGGATAACTGTGGTATGATGCCTAGCCTCCAACCTCATCATGTTCTAGTTCACATAGAAACTGTAGGATTTCTAAACACTCATGATTCCATTGCAATAGAACGCTCTATGTATTCTGGTGTTCTAGCATCCAATGTGAGATTCTAGAAATGTGTGCAGCAGCCAAGTGCAATACAGTCAGGCAGCCCCCAGCCTATATACCTTTGAAATCTAAGTTGGAAGTGTGGACAGGGAACCTATGTCTGTTAGCTGCCATCAGAAGCTTTGTACAACACAGATCTCAGCAAAGACCAGAAGCTCTGAACCCCCACCATCATCGAAGCTGTGGTCTCATTGCAGTGAGAAAAAGAGAAACCAGATTATATATCCAGCTCCATTGCCAGCCCTTCATTACCTTTTGCTCTGTTTAACTATGTTCAGACTCCCAGAGGGTTTCCCAAACGAATAGGAAGCATTTCTGTAACCAACCTGCTACCCCACTGATTCAGAAATAGAAATCTCATCCACAACACCATGGCATCTACCAGCTAGCTCAGCAAATACTTGAAATCAGATATCTCCATTAGAGTTGGGTTACTCGATTTGCCAATTAAATAACTGAGACATAAATCTGGAACAGAGCCACAAATCTGCCTTTGAAATGCTGGGATCTCAAGGCATCAGTTATGGGGGGCGGCACGAGAACACTCCAACTCCCCTCACCCAGAAAGAACATGTACTGGCAGAGGCCCCTTCACTGCAGCCCACGTGCACAGACAGCTCACTCGTCCATCCCTAGGGTCCTTTCCAGATTGAGGCTCTGTATCATAGAAGGTGCAGAAACAGCTCCTTCTGGAATCCAGAATGAGAATAACAAGAGTGGTGCATTGGGAGTTGGAATCATCAGAGAGTGATGCAGATCATTCAAATAAAAACTGTGCCTTTTTAAAAGAAATGCAAATGTACAGCAATCCCAAACTGAACCATTTCCTAGTGCCTTGCTAGACAAACAGGAGAGGTGGTGTGGGAGAGGGGAACATTTTTGGTGGTGTGTGAAGTTCATACTGGATGAGTGTTTCATAATGTCTCATTTCAAGCAGGAGATGTTGGGCCTACAGCAAGATCTGAGAGCCAAGAGGCCTCAAGACAGGGCCAGCTGTCCCAGTGAGTGCAGGAACATACCCAGTGATGAAGGGCAGCTCGGTGTATCGTGGCCTCCAAGGGCCTTGAAGCCCTGAGAGAAGGCCTTGCATTGCTTCTTTGCCCTGGTGGGGGCCATGCCTGTGGCCCCCAAATAATAGAGTGCTTCAACCTGTCCCTCACCAGTGGATAAAGTATATAGGACACTAACTAGACTCCCAGTGGCTCCCTGAGAGGGTTCGCAGTGTTCTTGCGTCAGACCCAGGATCCTGTGGAATGCAGGAGAAGCCACAGGCCACCCTAGGCCTTCTCTTTCCCTTTCCCGTTGCTTTGTTTCTCCTCCCAGGGCTGGTTCACACCCTAAACAGGGCAGGGCTTTTATATTTGCTGGGCCCTCATCAGCAGTCCTGAGACTTGACAAAAGTGTGTATAGGGGAAGGAAGGCCAGCAGCACTGTGTTTGTTCAATGGCAGTGACTCACTGCAAATGCCAAGCCCTGCACTGTTTTTGACCTTGTTTGGAAACTACCTGTCTCAAGGATTCAGGTTTCTGCTCATATTCCAGCGGATACTCAAAAAATTCAGCCAGGACCTGTAGGATGCCACAGCCAAGTAATGGGAAACTTTACCCTTCTAAAGCTTTTGTCAGAGGATGAGGTCAGAAACAGGGTGTGGCTAGAAAGGAAACTAACCTGTCTAAGATTCAGGTTTTCTCTTCATATTTCCAGCGGATACTCAAAAAACTCAGCCAGGACCCTGTAGAGATTGCCACAGCCAAGTAATGGGAAACTGTTACCTTCTAAAGCTTTTGGTCAGAGGAGAGGGTCAGAAACCAGGCGTGTGGCTAGAAAGTATGGGAAAACCCTGTTGACCCACCAGCAGCCTTTCCAAAGGAGGGTCTCCAGACAATTTCAAAAATGCAGTATCTACTTTGAGGCCTTTGGAGGTGGCTAAGTTTGTTGAAAAGGCCATTCTACTGCCTAAACAATGAAGCTTTCAACTTGTGAAAAACAGCCCAAAACTGCTGATTCTTCCTTTATGAAGAAATAAGCTCAGAGGCAGAAGGCTGGCATCTGCAGAAGAGATGGAGGACAGACATGGCAGTAGGGCCTGAGAGAAAATGTAGTTTTTTACAGCACATGAATTTCCAAAGTGCATTACTGCATTCACGTTCAAACCTTCATCCTACCGTTGTTTTCTTTCTTGTGCAATCTTATCTCTGTTTTTCAGTCTCTGGGTTCTCAGAGGTGTTGCCTGAGAAATGGGGGAGTCCTTGCTTCAATGATCCTTAGTTCCTTACAGACGTAATCTTTTGTGAGTCCTAGGAGAATATTGCACCTGTAATGTTGTCTGAGATTTAAAAGAGAAAAGGGACAGGGAGTGCAGTTCTGCTTCAGATCTTTATGCGTTCCACTAATGCTTCTTTGTTGAAAAATCCAAGTAATATTTTAATTCAAACTTGATCTTCAGCCGAGGCCCTGCCCCCTTCGAGTGGAAGTGGGACCTAACATACAGGTGGACAAGGCCATCCCAGCATCTCCCAAATGGCTTATATTCAGGCTGTGCCAGCCAACAGGTCAGGCTCCTGCGCTTTACCATGGTTGGGAGACCAGGAGTTCCAAGAGTGCAGGCAGACATAGTTAGGAAGTCAGGGTTTCCTCAGAGAAAGCTCAAGGCCCCCAGCATCCACGACCTTACCTGCCTGGAAAAGTGAGGCTATTATAAAGAAATGACTACCACGTATAATGTGGACTTGTTGTTGTACAAAATTAAAACCTCCAAGACTTTGTCTAAAGTGGGTCTCTGAAATTTCCTTGTTGTCCCATCCCCTGCTACCAGTGGGCCTACATATCACTAAGCAGCTGCTTAGTACCCATATGCTCTTCTTGGGGTGCTGGAACAAAATTCATTTTTAAGAGTTAAGGCAGATTTAAAACGATGAATATGATTTCGGCACAATTAAGGGCTATGAAGGATAGTAGAAGCAGATGAGTATTATTAGAAGACTGGAAGGATAGAAGAAGTAAGCATTATTAGAAAAGATCAGGGAATGCCTCTTCAGAACTGAAAGAGGAAAAGCATATTGAACCAGGGAGTTGATGGGGGAAGGAGAGTTCTGAGTAGAGTGGGAACAGCTCCTGCAAAGGCCCTAGGCAGGAAAGTGTTAGAGAGGACAAGGGGTAAGCTCAAAGACTTGGGCAGGGAAAGGCCCACCAAAGTCTTAGAGATTAAACCCAAAGGTGGGACAATTCAAGGAGGATAGTGATATTATGAATTAAGCTGTACTCAATTCTAATGCTTACCCACAAATACCATGTTTTATCAAAACATTTCTTGTGCTGTTGGTATAGTTTTATCTGATTACCATGTTGGCAGAATACTCAGCTTTTTCAAAATCTCAGAGGTCTGTGCAAAA